TGTTTAAACTGAGTCTAAACAAGTTCCACTTGTTACAAAAAAATCTTTCTTCTGTAGGATTTGTGAGCTTTCTGATGATAAACAGCAGACTATTGATCCTGTTAAACTGATGTACCTTGTGAATACTGAAAACTTCCTGCTACTTCCCTAAAGCTGCCTCTCGTTTTCCTCTCAACATGCACACACACAGAACCCATTTTTCCTGAAGTTCCTTCTCTTTCCAGCTGATTAATTAGTGTGGTAGAGAAATGTGTGATCCTTCTAGCTTAGTACAGAGGTAGCTTGTGTTTGTATGTGAAGGCTGAATAGAGACTTGAAGTCTTCCATTCCTCATTTCCCTGAAAAGAGAAAATTGCCAGGGCCTTGGGATTGCAGTGTTTTCTCACCTAAAAAGACAGTAATAAAAATACTTGGATTTCTCTTCCCAGTCTGTGAGTTTGTGTGCAACAGCTGTTGGCTGCTGCCTGCAGCACTGTTCCTCCCTGTCTCCTTGCCTTGCTGCTTGCACTGGGCTGACCTTTGATCTAACTGAGTTCCTCTTCCAGCGACTGCTCTTCCTCAGGGGTTTACACTTTCCATGTTGGGATCTCTCTCCAAAGTCCCTTGTCTGCTCTGGCTCAATGACTTCACTCCTTTGTTCTTACTTTTCCTTACATTGCACGCTTGTAGATTCCTGCAGTCTCACAGCTCTGCTTTTATTTGCTTCTTTCATTTTTTGCCTCTGTACAGCTGAGCCAAGGACACAGTTGTGTTTGACAGAGCTGGGCCGGCTCCAGGCAGCTGACCCTGGAGCCCTGCTTCAGCTGCTGCCTCTGGGGAGAAAAGCCAGACAGTGCAGAGCAGCTCCAGTCCTGGGCCAGCCCCGGGATGGCCCCAGCCGGGCCATTGGCAGTGCAGGGATCTCTTATTCCACCTCGTGAGTTTAGTTCTGATCTTGAACACAGCTTAGAAATAATGGAAGATGTTAATTTCTCTGTCTGTGATGTGTGATCTATGTCTGAAAATTCAGACTTTTTTAGCAAAAAAACCCCAAAACAAACAAACAAACAAAAAAAACCAAAACCAAAAAACACAAAAATCCCAAAGCTGTAAGAGAATGCCATCAAATTTTTTAAACTTTTATATTACTAACAGACTTGAGATGCACCTTTTAGGGGGGTTGTTTATTTATTTTTGTTGGTTTGTTGATGATTTTTTTTGTAGCATCCAAAACTAAATGGTTTGCTGTGAACATCTTTTTCTGCCTTAAAACTGCAAATGCAAAAATTCTGAATATTCTGAATTTTGGCTCGAGACTCACTGAACTGATGATACACAAGAGGTAGGGTTTTTAGTCAAGTCTTTCTCCTAGGTCACCTTTAATTCTGATAGCTAGTACTGAAAAGGAAATTTGGACTAAAAATCCTTTCTTTGTTCCTGGAAGTGTTAAAACAGATATTCTAACTTACAGTTGAGGCACCACAGACTCAAGAGTTCAAACTTTAGATTTTTTAATGCATTCTGTGTTTTTAAAAAACTTTTTGTTAGTTTTTGTACACATACATACCTTTGCAGGATTTCTGAGTAGGTTTGCACAGGTGTGGAGGGGACACAAACTTGCAGGCCAGTTTGCCTACTCAGAAACATTTCGGTGGCTGCTGTGGCTTTCACTGTAGCTCTGTCTTTGGGTTCTGTTTGCCTTCATGCAGTATAAGCGCAGCACTCCAGACAAAAGTGGGGATTGAAAACAAAACCATTTCTTAATCATTCTGTTGTAGCTAAACTTAATATAAACTTGGGTTTGAGGATATGCTTGGTATTTTGGAAGAACTGTGTTAAGCTGTTTTTACAGCTGACTTGGTGACATTTCTGTAAGTAAAATAATGCTGTTGTTCCAGCATGGCAAAGGTCTGCATAATCCGTGTGCTCAACTTAATCATTGGTTTTCTTCTTGTGACAATAAATGGCATTGTACCAAAAGCAATATATCCTGTGTGTAGTTAGTAGTGGAAATAATTATTACTGTGCAGCTTGTATTTTCATTGTCTTTGCAGCCACTAGCATGGATTGTGTGCACTGACAGTCACTCCAGTCTGTTAAAGACGTCTGGGGGAAAACTAAGTCCTGAATAACACTTGTTTGCTTTCTGGAAGCTGCTGCTGTGCTTTGAAGCAGAAAAGGGTTGCACCTGATGCTGCATTAATCTTATTTTCTTCTGAGTCTTGTCATCAGAATACATCTAAGTCTAGAGTGTTTCTCCAGATTTGCTCCTCCACATTGTTCCTCTTGAGAAAGGCCCAGGCTCAACACCAGCATCATTAGAGCCAAGGATGATAAGAGAGCAGAAGGGCTTTTTTCTCTGCTTGATTTTGGGATTCTGCTAAACTGTACTCAGCTTTAGAGCACGGCACTGTAAAAAGACTTGTGGAATGCTGCAACTGGCTTTGCTCACCAACTACTTAAGACCAGATAAGACCTCACAGGCAATATGCAATGCTTGGGAACTCTCCAGTCATAAGTTCTGTTCCCTCCTGCCCCCCAGTAGCAATTCTGCACTACTGGTTCTGAAGTAAACTAGCCCTGGATAACTCCCTTCAGAGGGAAGCTTTGGGTTTCATTTCTGGGTGCTCAAAAGGGCAAGATATTAAGACAGTTTTCTCCCTATCATTTGCATTTGACTGCTAGTGTAGTACTCATTATACGAAACTGTCACTGTACAAAAAATTTCATGCTGTAGAAATAAGAGGGCTGAAGAGCTTGTTCTTCTCAACATATATTCCCTCTCGCTTTCTAAGTCTGTAGAAAAATAGCTACTTTCAGATATAGCTAAATAGCCTTTCTGCATTCTCTGTGCACATTTTTCTCTGCTGCCTCCTACTCTTCTTAGATGTGACTTATTTTACTGCTAATGGTGTTATAAAAACTGTAGTACTACAGGTGTCATGTGGTAACTTGTAAATAAAATTACTGTAAATGCACAGTCAAGTTATTTGTGGTGCTGCTCTGTACACGTGTGACACTGCCTTAGCTGTCAATCCTCACTGCACGTCCCCGGAGGATCACTTGGGGATTATAAAGGCTGTGCCTGTGCCTTGTATGAGGAACCTTTTGCTGACCAGCCTCCACAGCAATCTGGTCCTGTTAACAAGTTCCAGGCAACTCTAGCATTGATAGCAATTATTTCTAGGCAGGAACGTTGCCACTTTATTTGCCAGCTGACAGCAAATCAACCCTTCTGTCAGACTGATTGTCAGTGGAGCAATAATACAGTTTTATGTAAATACCTCAAACCATTTGTATAGCAAGTAGAGAACACAGGATTATTTACAGTGGGAAGCTGCTGAGGAAGCTGTTGCTGGGGCGTTGTGTCCTTGGAGCCTGTTGGGGTGTTTCCTATCCAAGTGAGAGAGGGGCGGAAAAGAGTGGAAGAGGTCTGAGCTGTGTGAACACCAAGTGCTGTGAGTTGGAATTCGTGTTCAAAATGCAGATGCGCTCTGTCTGCGTCCCTGCGGGTGTGGAGGCCGGCAGGGCAGCAGCAGAGGCTGCGGGGCTGGGCTGGAGCGCAGGGACTGCAGGAATGCCGGGAGCGCCAGGTGCGCTCAGAGCAGCGCTCCCTGTCCGCTACACATCGGTCCTGGAATGGGCAGCCGGGTGGGAAACCCTTCAGAACGATTTGCACTCATGAATGCAAGTGTCCATGTGCTGTGGAAGGCCTGTCACCGGCAGTGCAGCAGCAGATAAAATTTAAGAGGTTTCATGTCTTTTCTTTGGGAGGGATGAATATGAAATACTTTTAGGAAATATTCAAATGGCTGCATTTTTGCTGCTGAAGAGAGAAGCAGCTTGTTTGTAATTCCCAACTATCTGAGGCTCCAGCCAGCTGTCTTTCATCCATGCAAGGAAAAACTCACTTTTTGGAGATGACAATATTTCTGCTTCCCAATTTTTAACTGCTTCTGTAATTCTTCTCTGTTTTCTTCCCTTTTAACCTCCTTCCCTGCAACTGGTACAAATGGTCTTTGAGAGCCTGAGTCTTTCAAAGGCATTTAAGTAAATTAAAAGGCAAATACCACATGGAAACAATTTCATTTAACATGGATCAAACAGTTTCTCAAAGCAGAAACTTGTGGCCTTTTACCACAAGGGGTAATAGAGTTTATTTGCAGCAAGCATATTGAACTAAACACTTAGCTCAAATAATAAATACAAACACAATCCTTTTCAGAATAAAATGCCATGTCTGTAATAGCTATTGAATTAAATCTCTGGGGGAAAAAGGGACTAGAAAACAAAAATATCTCTAAATCAATGTGCTTGAATGAATGAAATTTTTGTGTGCAACAGGGATTGTCTGAAGATGGTGATTATAATCCAGGTGGGTTTGGTGGGTAGAGAGGTGGGCAGCAACAATGAAGCCCATGGCATTTCTTGTATAAATATTTCTATCTACAAATTGCCATACTCCTCATCAAACAAAGGTAGCAATTAATTAAGCAGGAGAGTCTGTTTCAGCTCTTAAGGTGTTCATTTCAGGATATTCAGGAACTGTCTTGGCATTCACTTGCACTGAGAATGGATTCATGATGACATGTTTGTATTCAATTACTGAAATTTTGCCTGTGTATATTTTGGTTTTACTTTAACGTATGAATCATTTGAATATCTGGTAATTTTCACTGTGAAAAGAAGTGTGATTGCCTTTAAGTGATCTGTCTTGCTCCTGCTTGCTAACTGTGCTAGATTTTGGAGCAGGGGGCATGAAGTCTTTCCATGCCCTGGAATAAAATAATCTTCAGGTAAAGTAGTAAAAATTGCAAACTCTTGGTATGGCCTGTTTAGGGATAACAAATACATCTGTAAACCCTTTGAACCTACTCAGAAAGTGAAGAACTAACGAATTTCTGAAAAGCGTGAGGGAAACAGAGACTGTAAACCCAGCTCATGCTCTCTTCCTATAAGTACAATTCCTGTACCCTGCTGGAGACTGCCCCACAGGCTGTCAGCTTCCAGCAGCTGCTGCAGTACAGCTGGGTGGGTTTTCCAATGCCGTGTTGGTTTTCTTAAACCAGCCCCAAAACTGCATTCACCCAGTGCCCAGCCTCCCTCAGGAAGTAATGGGCACAGCCAGAGCTGTCCTGCCTGGTACCTTGTTGCAATGATTTTGTTTCCATTTGTTGTCTTGTGCAATCATTTATTTTCTTGTTGTTTTACTGTTCTCTTTAGTCCTCTTACACTTCAAAGGCTGTGCTGAGGTCAGATGAATGCCTGGCCTTCCTGGATAACAGGCAGTCTATCTCGAGAACTTTCTGTGATTCAGTGCCATTAGATGTAGCTGTTGTCAAATGTAGCCGAGGTCCTGAAGGCAACCACAGAAAACTTCTGTTGGAAGGAACCTCTGAAGGTCACCCGGCCCAATGCCTGCTGACAGTGCAGATGTGGTGACCTGGACACCTCTGGGCTGGATGGGGCTGAAGAGGACCTGCTCAAGGAGCAGAGTAGATCTTTAGTTCATACTTGCTAATACCTTACACTGCTGAACTTTGCAGTTTTGAAGAAATACAGTGATCAAAACAGATTTAGGATGGAATTTATCCTTTAATCACTTTCCCCCCTGCTTCAGTCACGTTGGGTGTAGGGTATAAAGGGTGCTACCCCCCACATCCTTTTTTCTGTTTTGACTGGAAGACATTGGCAGCAAAGGACGATCCCGTTTGTACAGCGCCTGCAGCTGCCGCAGAGATGCAAAGGCTGAGCCCCTCCTGGAACGCAGGCTGCCCTTCCTGGCACCACCACAGCTTGTGCTGTTCCCGCTCCCGGGCTCAGCTTTCATTCTTGTGCCACCTTGCCCGTTTCAGGTACTGGATTTTCTACCACCAAACCCCATTTGTTTAATGATTGCTATTCATTTTGTCCGCGGGTAAAATTTTTCAGCAACGGTTATCTTGTCTCCAGAAAGCAAAAATAACAGAGATAAAAAGGGCCCTAGAAATGACATAATGACACTTTTTATTCAACCTCGTGGTAGAAACCTTGCCTCCGTTAAAATCCAAATGAAAGCTTTCGAAGGAATTGAGAAAGTGTAACCGCAGCTCAGAGCTCTGCGCTGCAAAGCGCCCCTGCCCAGCGCGCTCCTGCAGAGCTGCCGGCATGGTCACGGCTGTGCTCGTGCCATCTGCCGGGGGAAAGCTGCCATCAACTGCATTCTAGAAATAAAAACCTTGCTGACGGCAGTTCACCTCGATCATTAAAAAGCAGAATTTACAATAATAATAATACCCAGACTGTCTATAAAAATATCATATAAGTCTTCTAGATTTAGAGCTCCAGTGTATGTCAAAGGCTAACCTACTGACAGGGTACAGCCCAAACATCTCTGAAACTGTAAATTAAGCATTTCTATTTTTATGTGCTAGATTTGGGGGTTCTTCTGTTTTGGGTTTCTCTGTTTAGCTGTGTTATTTTAAAGCAGTCTGAGTCTCGATTTAGGTGTACATTATGACTGGTCAAGGCAGTAGAAATGAGGAATTGAAAACAATTTTGATGCGTGGGACTGATTTGATAATTCTTCCTTTTCCCCCCCATTTCTGGTGTAGGTCCAAGCAATTCCAACCACCTACGAAAAAAAGCACACCACCGTGCTAAGGAATGAAGCACAGAAGCAAGGTGAGGCATTGGGAACTTAATATGAATATTAATGATTATGATTATGCTAATTATCATTGTCAAACTTTGTACAATCTGTTCTCATCTGCATTCCCATCCACCCGTTCCATACATACTGGCAGAAGTATCAAAAGAGCAATTCAAGATAGAGGACTGAGAGAACAGTATTATAGCTTGTAACATGAAAAATTAACTTCACCAGCCTGTGGCTGTGTTTTATACCCCCAGCTAAGATGACACATTTCTCTCTTGTAACAATATCCAGGGGGTTGCAGAATCTTGTTTGTAGCAGTAGCAAAGTGTCTTGCAGGAAGTTTCTGGATACTGATGCTCAGGGGATTTTGCTGGTTCAAATCTCTTCTGCCAGTTTCCATGCCCTGCTTTGCACCCTGATCACACAGTTAATGCCCTGTAATTCTTCAGCTCACACAAGAGCAAGTTTCAGTTTCCTGATCAAATGTGAGTTATGTTGACTTGTGCTTGTGTGCTCCTGCTGGAGCAGCTGGTTTGGTTGTGTCCTGTGCCCCCTGAGCCATCCAGAGGTCTCAGATGACTTTTTTTTTAAAACCTAAAAGTTTGAGATACCCCAGAAAGGCACTGGAATGTTGATATTTCTGGCAGAACAGAGTCTCCTCAAGGATACTGGGGAATATAAAAACAAAACCTAGGATGCAAAATGGGTCTCAGAAAAGCACAGGACAACGGCACCTGTGACATGTGACAGTTCCTTTGCATGGTACACCAGCATCAGCACTGCTCTTCTGGAATATACGGATGCAGAGAAAGATGTTGAAGACTGTAACCCTCAGCTGGTGTGGGTAAGATCCACCTGAGCAGCAGCCTCTCCAGAACTTAGATACTTAGCTGAGGTGTTGCAATATTTGCATTTCACCCCTCTGTTACCAGACAACAACCTTCTAACCTGGCACACTGTGGAACACGAAGCAGCAGCATTACCTCTGCCTTCATTTTAAGTAATTGTTAGTATATTCTATGACACGCACGTGGTAACTTTTATGTGTAGTGCTGGATGCTGCTGTCTCGAGCAGATGTAAGAGAGTCTTTTATAGCTTCCTCCCACCCTTGTTCCAGTCATTTCAAACACTGATCATGCTGTGGTTGCAGCAGCCTGGCCACCCTGTTCCTGTCCTGTGCTGCCTCCCTGGGCCACAAGCTGCAGCAGTGGCCGTGCTCAGCACATTGTGACAGACGTGTCAGTACCAGAGCAGAACACAGAGCATTCAGCAGCTGTATGGCACAGTAGGTATGTACTGTGTGCAGAGTGCCTCCTGACCAAGTGACACACTTAATGCAAAGATCTTTTCTTGGTACAAAATCTAGCAAGGAATCCTTCACATAAAGCTAGTGCAGCTCTGAGCAGATTTGCTTTATGAAATGGGTATGATGTACAGCAGAGAGAGTAATACTTTGACACTATTAACTCACTGTGACAGTCTTGCAAACCTGTATTTATTTTCAGATTCCTGAGCATGTCTGCAGGGATACAAAATGGAATTTTAGATATGGAATGATTTCCAGCTTGGCAGCTACATTACAAGGTAAAGCTGCTTTGTCACTCACGCCTGGATATCATGGATGCTCTGTATGATATAGCAAGAGAGACTGTTCCTGCCATGCATATTTTGCTGGGGCTTATGACTCCTTGGAAACAGGCACTTTGTTTCCACATCTTATGGATGAGGGGATATGTTTTTCATATTAACACTGCCAAAATATGGGTGCAGCCAGTCTTATCCTGCCTCATACCCAGTAACCAACCCTCTACCAGTTTCTGCAATTGTAATTTGTATTCTCTTGATCTCTGCAATCTTGCAACAGTGGCAATACCTTCAGAGATGAATGCCATTTCTACTGTGCCTGTTAGAAGCTCTATCCTGTAACACACAAGCTGATACACAACAGAACAGAACAGAACAGAACATCCAGCATGCCCTGGCAGCTCACTGCCTTCCTGCTGCCAACACTGAAGGTGCTAAAAATGAGCTATTTACTTTTCTGCAGTCTGAAGAAAATACCTAGTTGTGCTATACACCAAAACATGAACTTGTATAATTGGGATATGAAGCAGGCACTAGCTGAGCCATGTGGTCAGTGAGCTGGAGTGTTGGCAGCCTTCTGTAATTCCTGCTGGGTGTTTTGTCCTTTCCTATGCTGAGTTCATGGTTTGGGTGGTTGAGCAGTCAAATCGAGACACTTACTGAACACAGTTCAGGGATGGCAGGGAAAGGTTAATTGCAAGGTATCTGATTTTTTCTTCCATTTAAATGCTAGCATTTTGTTTAATGATAACCACTTGAAAAAATATTTGTTTTAGAAAAAAATAATGCTGCCAAAATAAACAACACTGATCTGTGTTTATGTTTTGGTAGAAACTCGAGGCCACTCTTGAAGGCAAATGGCAAATTGCTTTACTGGCCACAGCAAGTTAATAATGAACATCAACATTAGTGCAAGTTGGAGTCAAAAAGCGCTGGTATTTGTTTGTTCTCCCTGTGCCTGGCTGAGGCTCCTCTACCAGTAAGCAGGAGGATGTAACCAAATACTGTGCTACACAGGGCAATGCTTGATTGGGCTAATCTTGTCTTCAGCCTGTCTCCCCATTTCTCTATTGCCAGAAACATTTGAGCCATTTGTCCTAGAAGTTATAAAGGAAGTTCACACAGTTATTTATCACTATTTATATAAGAATGATGGCAAGAAGGGTCAACCTGTTATAAAGAATCAGTGCAGGTTCAGCCACAAGATGGAGCCAGTACAGTACCAGGCACACCTTCCCAGTGGGACAAAGTGTTAGGCTGTTTTGTCTCTAAATCTTTCAGCAGTTTTAATAGGATTGTTCACTTCTCGGTTACTGAGATAGCCTTGGAGAAAATAAAAATCTATTGGAGAAAACAAAAATCAGAAATACCTAGTATTAAGTGTACAGAAATCATATATGGCTTGTTCCAGCCTACAAATGAAATGTACAGGTAATCTGATCACCAAACATAAAAAATCAGTGATGCTTTTTCTTGAGTCTAAATAAAACCAGTCTTTAGACTCAGTTGCATTCTCCAGGGATTTATGGAATTAAATGACTCAAGGGGAAAAAAAGAAGGAAAGATTAAGAGGAGGGAAAAATTACAGGGTGACAAATAAGGCCTTTGAGTTAATCTTAGGAATCAGGTGTATCAATACAAGTAATAAATCAGCAGACACAGCTCTAGCAGTTGCCACAGTGAATTTAAAACCCCCACTGTGAAGAGCAGAAGACAGAGGTTGCTTTGTATTTTCTCATTCCAGCAATCTTTGTGACACTTTTTAGATAAGTTACCAAAAAGAATACATGTCAAGTGTCAAGTTACAGTGTACAACCCTGTGCTCTGATAGTCACAGAACATCTATGGTTTTCCTTGTTATTACTGTTCTTCTCTTCAGTCTCCTTCTCATTCATTTCCAAAGCTACACTAGACTCATGTTAATTACAATAAAAGCTTTTATTTTTGTCTCTCTCAGAAAATTTCCTCGGCCAACATTACTCTTTTATTTATGTATCTTTATCTTAACATTGCAAAAAGAATCAGCTCTTTTGTATCTGTCTTCATATACTTCCAGAGAATAATTTGATGCCTTGTTGCATTTTGCCCTGTAAACAGTAGATTGGCTACCACAGGAAGTCAATCCTAATCAAAATCTGTCTCGATTTAATTTTTCATAGAGTATTGCTTTGCTACAGAAATCTGTAATTCAGCTCTGAAACAAAATTCACCTTCTGTGAAAAACTCCAGGTGACCTGCTGGTCATTCCTGATAACAGATCAGGAATGTTATCTTCTGAATGTGGCCAAGCTTTTAATTTGTATGGTATGTCTAGCCTGATTCACAAGAAAACACTAACAAGTTGAAAATGTTTTTACCATCAATTAGCTAACTTTGGGTTTGCTTGCCCCTTATTATAAGATACTCCTGGTTTTAAATGGGAAGAGCAATTCTGAAATGCCTTTGGGGATCCTAGTGAAGAGTCAGTTGAACTGGCAATTAATGGCACAGATGGATATGGATCATCTAACTGTCTGAACAGGAAAAGGACAGTCCCATTCTTGAATCACTACTGGAATCCACAGCTCAAGAAATAATTTGATACCTTGGAAAAGGATCTGAGAAGAGATATAGAAACAACTTAGAAAATGAAAAATGTGCTTTATCAAACGCTATTTCTTAAAAGGATGTTCTCATGTCTATCTATAGTGAGTCCTTCTGTATTCTCCATCTTATGGAGACAGAGGAAACAGCAGCTGAAAAGTAAAATTAAACACTTTCAAGGGAGAAATAAGATATATATCTGTCAATGAGAGTAATTAATGACTGGAACAAGGAATTAACAATTTGTAGAGACAGGATGTTCTAAGGCACATTTCCCTAAGGGATGTTCTGCTTTAAATGACAAGTAATATCACCAGTCACATGGCTTCTGTCCCACGGTACCACAATAATCCTCTGGCTCTGTGGAACTACAGAATATGCTTGTGTTGGATGCCCTAAGCTGGGCAGGATAGAAAATGAAGATGGAAATGTAAGTCTGGGTTTTCAGATGAGAAACACATCTCTTAGAAGAAAGGAAAAAAAAAGGAAACTGAACAATCCCAACACAGGAAAAGCTTGAATCTCTGCCTCTAGCCAACTGTTTTGCATATATGGGCAAGCATATGCAGAATGTGTTTCTACAAAATACATACCAACAGAAATTGAATCTCTGCTTTTCTATGGCTCACAAAACACAGGTTTAACTTCCCAGTTAAGCAACAGCTGGCCAACAGTCAGCCAAGGAGTTGACAGCTGCATGAAATAGATGACAATCCCACATTAGGGTGGAGTTTTTAACAGGTATGTATACATTGAAAACTTATGTAGTTCTCTTTATTCTACTACTTTTTCCTTTTCCCTCAGAAAAACACATCTTCTGCTTTCTCTTCTGCTAAATGCAGACAATCTCTGCTAGCACCTGATTTTGTGATTTAAATGCTGTGGTACTCATCAAGTGCTATTAGTTTCTACGTGTTGTTGTGCTGGTTTACTGTGTTGCCACTCCTGTTTGCATGTTAAATATTCCACTGTACTGTGCAATTTACTTACCAGGAGTGAACAGCTGGAAAACTGATGATGCCATTTCCAGTCTCCTACTAAAGTGCAGTCTGCTCCTTGTCTGCAGTCTCAATGTTTGATGCTGGAGGCACAACCTCCAGCCCTCTCTGCATTCAGAATCACACAGCCACTATCAGGGAAGGGTTAGAACAGTTCTGTCTTTTCAGTCTCTGGAGGTGATGTAGACATTACCCCTTGCAAAGGAGTTTGAGATAGCTGAAGATCTTTTTGAGATAGCTTGAGATCTTTTTCAGAGATGAGGGGAAAGTTACAGAACTAACACTAACAGACAGGATCTGTGATTCCTGCAGTTCCAGGGCTTGTAACTTACTGTGCCAGATATAAACACAAAAGGAACTCTTACAAATTCTCCCATTAGAAAAACAGTGCTGCAAGTTTTAGACACAGGTCTTTACACACTACAATTGTCTGTTCTGCTCTCAAGTCTCTTGACAGACTTTCACAAAGCCAACAACCAAAGCCAAAAGGAGGAGACACAACTAGGTTTCCTCACTTACACAGCCTGGTCACAGTCACTGCAGTTGCCTCTGCTTTTGAGGACAGACAGAACTTCATCTCTCCACAGCTTGGTTAGTAGAAAAATCAAATTTCAACAACAAATACAGCTGTCACTTGATCTTATGATCGCCGTTTTCATTACTGTGCTTATAGCACGATGATTCTTTTGTGGGCCTTATATTTTTGTTTAAAGACTAAAAGAAGTGTAAAAAAACCTCCTCAACTCTTCCTGTTATCATGGAGAGAAAGGTCTAGATTTTCTACTGCAAGTTGATGTTAAATTATTTCAAAAAACAAATTCAGGAGAAAAAGATAATAAAATTTGACCTAGCTACTAAAGCATGCTGATACTTGAAGGGCGTGTGTGCTGGCTAATTCCCTGGTGAACCTCTCTGCTCTAGGTAGGACACTTGTATATCTGTCAGACTGAATATTAGAAAAGTGTAATTAACATCTGGTTTTGCTATTTCAAAAGTCACACAAGAGATAAAATAGATCTTCCACAGCGATGGTGGGCATAAACAGAGCAATTCGGATTTTGCAGATGACAAATTGCCCTCCAGTGGTGTGTATTTCAGCCCTCTGATAGAGAGAACATATATTCTCCTAAATTAGGTATCTGGAGCTCTGGGTGATTCTGATTTTTTTCCACATCACATCCATTTATATGTATATGAGCAGATGTCTGCATCATGTAAAAATCATGATACAAATTTGTTTGATTCATAGCCTCCAAACAAATTCCTCTGCCTGTTCTCCACTTGAGGAAAGCTTGAGACATCAACGTGTTTCAGGACAGTTGATCACATTGCTTGATATTCCCTGATCCACTGAAAATGCAGCTTCACTGCATCTTTTTGGGGTTTGCAGGTTTTATGTTAGCATAAGTGGTACAATTTAATAGTTCTACTGATTTCAAAAAGCATCCCAAAGGAAAGGATACTAATTTATTTGTTCACCTAAAATACTTCCCTACACAGGCAGTACCAGACAAGTAACTGAAATACACTGTGACAAATACCAGTATAACTTATGACCAAGCAACAAGCTGGTTTACAATAAATGCATAATGTTGTCTTTTCCTATCAGAGAATCAGAAGTTTGATATTAATTTTGTCAGTTATTTCTACATTACACTCTTTAGACCAGTTACTGCCATGTCCTGAGAAAAAAGATGCATTTTTCTTTTCCTTGGAGAACTCTGGAGAACACAGTATTACAAACCTGAGTAACTGAGAACACAAAATCAGATTTTTTGTTTTTCATTACTAAGCTTGCATTTATGGCAAGCATATAGGAAAGTAGTTAAATTGGGGTTTTTTAAATTATTTTTTCCTTCCTACAGTGGTTTTCTTTCAGCTAAAACAGAGAATCTAGAGTTTGAAATTTTAAGACTAATTGATTTTTAAAATTTGGTTAAAGTCTCTAAACTTTTGAGACTTAACATATCTTGAAGAAGCAAAGGAAGTAATGATCCAGACATTGAGATGCAAGCATTTTTCTTCCATGCTTTTAAAGTTATTTCACTGTCTCAGCCACTGACTACATGCAGTGCCCTCAAGTACATCTTGCTGTATTGGAGGTTCATTCATACAAGCAACCTTAACCTGCTACCACTGACTACATCCTTGACATGTCTTTATCTTAAAAAAAAAAAAAAAAAAGAAAGAGAGAAGGATGAAAGGATGGTATCTAACAGTGCAGCTTGTGTATTTGTTACTAGGGAAACAAACAGAGAAGAGAAAGAAACCCTCAGTGTCCTTGTCATTTGGATCTTTCAGTAGAGAAGCGGAGCTTGTGTTAAAACAATGGAAACACTGTTCAGCTTTCAGGATCCTTTGCTGTCCTTGCTGAATGACAGATACTTCTTTCTACTCCTTGTCCATCTTGTCATCACTGAAAAGGAGAGTCATTTCTACATTCCACACTGTATGGCTGGTTGTTTTTTTATTTGTCATGTAAACTTTAATCCCTTGGTCAGTAACCTGGTCAGTTCCTAACACCTAACACCAAGATCACAGCAGGTCTCCCGAGGTAAACAGAAGAGAGAACCCTGATGTTGTGTTCATACCCGTAGAAAAGCAGACACTAACAGTGCCAGGTTTGTGCTACTTTGACTTTCTACTGAATCAGAGTACAAACTCAATCAGGACTTAAGAGAGCGTGAGGGGTAGGGCAGCATTAGCTGCACGCCAGCATGGGGAGCTGTGGGAAGGCCTGTGCAAGTGTGACATCATTGCCTTGGAGTGCCGGGCTGTGTGGGAGCTTTGCCACCAGCTCCAGTGAAGCAGGGAGATGCCAGGCCCTGTAAGTCATGACTGACACCTCTGGTTTCAGTCAGGGGGTGTCAAGTCACGGCTGAGCTGGACTGACACCTCCCTGTGTGGGCTGAGAGGCCAGTTCAGAGATCAACACTGTTTGTACCGTGACTTTCTGCTCATTGCTAAATATGCACTGCATCAGATCTCATGTAATTTCTCTATCAAACTATGCTACATCTCTGCTTCTTTTTCTGTTCCAGTTATTATCTTGTTCATCTTTAGCACTTGCCTCATCTAACTCATCTTGTGGGAACTGGATTAGGAAGCTGGATTTGGTGCACTCTGAAGTGTAGCTAAGTAAATCCAAAGGATTATCACCTTTCTGCTGTTTTTACAAGACTACAGCTACCCGCACCAGAGCTAGAGAGATGATGGGAAAATTGCAATAAAAGCCCTATTGGAAATACTCTCACAGATTTTTGTGTTCTGCTGTTTCAACAAAGCATATTTCTTCTTTACTGTGCAAGTGTGGCTTTTTTGTACTGTTCAAGACCGGCTGTTAATCTGCCATTAAGAATGAAGAAAGATATGACAAAACCCCCCACACAAACGTGAATTATATGAAAAAATGGATAAGCAGAATAAGATCAACTAGCACATGGTTTTTTGATCATAGCCACTAGCTGAATTGTAATGGATTCCCTCTCTCTAGTATTCCACAAAGTACCAAAGCCCCTGGGGTAAAGAAAACAAACCACTTGGTAAAGATTAGAAAAGAAAAAGAAAGCTATGTCAGGAGTGACAAGAAAAGGAAGCAACAAACATTTTATTGACGGTGTGTGTTCATAGCGTGACAGCAGAGCCCTGCCTGCGGGTCCAGTGTAAATGACAGCTTCGTCACAGGCTCCAGCAGTTTGTGTCCCTACACCCTTTGTCCGTGGAAATAGGAAGGGTACAGCCAAAATAAACCAGGGGGGGGCTTTTATTGACTTTTAAAAGAAAAACATGATCATTGCCAACAGACCTCAAATACTTGGGAAACTACTTGTATGTGAGTGGTGGTTTGGTTCCCTAATGTTGAAAATTGTTCTTTTACACCATAATACCTGTGAATTTTTTCTCTATAAGTAATGAAGTTTTCTCAAACTCTCTCTTTGGAATCATGTACTCCAGCCGATCCTCCTTGTCTTTTAGCCTCTTCACTGGCCTTTTTTTCCTTAATGTTTTTTCTACAGCATTTAAGTTTTACCAGACCAGTGCCACCTCCCAGGGTTTTACTAGTTCCTGCAGAAACGCAGAGGACAAATACTTTCCGGTGTGAAAACGCACTCTGAGCGATCCGACATAGCCGATAGCGGCGCTTTCACGTGGAAATCGCACCTGGCGATGAAACCGTAAACCCAGCCGGCTGCTTGGGCAGGGGCTTTATTTATTACCTGGCGTTCGTTCCGTTGCCGCTCCCGTCCCGCCGCTTCTCCCCTCAGGGCCGGGCCCGCCTCAGCCCTCAGCGGGCGCGCGCCGCCCGTTTCCCGCCGCGCGCCCGAGCCCGCGGGCGGCGGGGCTGAGGGGAGGGGGGCGCTCGCGGCACGCGCCCAGCGGCACGCGCGGGCCCTCACAGCCCCCCCCCCCCCGGCCCCGCCGCGCGCACAACGGCAGCCGGGGGCGGGGCCACGCGGGCGGGGGCGGGGCCAACGCCCCCAACACACCCCCTCGCTCGCGCTCCGGCCCCGCCCCGAGCCCGGTCCCTCCTCCACAAAGCCGGGGGCGAAGGAGGGGAGGGGCGCGCGCCACTTCTGCCCGCCCCCCCCGAGAGAGGCGGGGCGGGGCGCGGGGGGCGCGAGCGCGCGCGCGAGGGCGCGCGGCGATTGGCTGGCGGCAGCGGGGGGAGCGCGTTTAACGGCCGCTGCGCCCCCGGGCCGGGGCAAAGCAAAACAAAGGCGGCGGCGGCGGGAGCGGGAGCCCGGGCGGAGCGCACGGCACGGGCACGGCACGATGTCTCGGCCGCCCCTCGACCCTCAGCGCGGCACACGCGCGCCCGGCCCCCGTCTATGACCCCCACCCGGCGGTCGCCGCCGAGACGGTACCTTCGAGGCGAGGGAAGCCGTCGTGTCCCGTCTCCCCCCCTCCCCTGATTCCCCCCTCTTTGTTTTTCGGTGAGGGCCCGGCGCGGAGCTCTCGCTGCCCGCCGCGCGAGGACCCGGAGTCCCGCCTCCCCTCCTACCCGTGCCCCCTAAGGGAGAGGGGCCCGGGGGCTGCTCGGAGCCCGGGCTGGGAGCGGAGTCGGCGCGGCGCAGCGGTGAGTACGGAGCGGGTGAGAAGCGGCCCCTCTTCCCTGTGTTGGAATTTATTTTTTTGGCGGGGGGTGTGGGGGGGAGACGGTGGAAGGCGGCTGCGAGAGGAACCCCGTGCTGCGCCCCGGTCGCGGGGGGGCCGCCGTCTCCCGTGTGCGCGGGGCCGCCGAGGCAACTTTGCTGGCGGGAGGAGGCTCGGGCGCTATTTATAGCGCTTGGAAATGACGGCAGCGCTGTCTGCCCGCAGCCTCCTCGGTGCGGGGTGGGTAAGGGCGGTTTACATAATTGAGGGGGGGGCGAAGCTGAGCTCGGCGCGCCGGGGGCCGGTAGTATCCCCCTGCGCTCTCCCCGGCGCCGCGCGGGCCGGGGAGCCGTGGGTTTCTGCACGGAGCCGGCGGCCGGAGCAGCGCGGGGCCGCGTTCGGGTGGCCGCGCGGCCGTACCGGCGATCAGAGGGGCGAACGAGCCGCTGTCCTGCTGGAATCGCTGCGGGGGGGACAGAAAAGGCGACGGCGTCACCCGCCGCGGCAGCTTCGTGCTCCGGCGTGAGAGAGGAAACGGCTTTAAAGGCGCACGGGCAGCGGCTCCCTCCCGGCGGAGGAGTGGGATGTCAGCCGGTAACTTTCCCCGCGCTTCTTTTCTCCTGTTATTTCCTAGTATGCAAAGGTGAAAATGAGGCTCCTGTGGCTCAGTCTTTAACTTGGATGTTTTTCCCTGCTGGAGTAAGCTCACCGCAGGTTACTGAGAGTGCGTGCACAGGCTGTGTCAGGCTTTGTGCAGCTGCTCAAAGACTCTTTAAGCGCATTTCATGTCGCTCCTTCCTCCGAGCCCCGCAGGACCGGCGGAGGGGCCGGTTCCTGACACAGCTCCGGCCGTGCCCCGCGCGGGGTCCCCACGCGCGGCAGGCAGCCGCTGTTTGCCCGGCCGGCGGCGCGGGGCCGCCCCCCCGCCACGCTTATCGGGGTGTTTGTTTACACATCCGGGACCCGCGCGGGCGGGGCCGCCCCGCCCCATTGGCCGCCCCGCGCCCCGCCCCGGTGACGTCACGGGCGGCGGGACGGGGCCGCTCCCGGCGCAGCCCGGGGGACATCGGGGTTCGGGGCGGCCCCGCGAGGAGGGCGGAGATCGCCGGCCCCGCTCCTGCGGCCGGGACGGCCCCTGGGCGCCGCGCTGGTAGGTGCGAACGGGACGAGAGCTTCAGGTGCCTCTGCGCAGGACCGAAGCACGGACTGTGCCGCGGCCAAACAACGAGAGCGAAATAGTTGGTTCGGGTTTTTGCCCTGTTCTGTGCGGAATAATGAGCGGCAGCCCGCGGAGCTGCTCGTAACTATGAGAGGGACGTGAGACTGGGCTTATTGTTAGAGCGAGCTAGGAAATGGTTTGTTTTGAATTGTGCCTTTAACGGCACAACAAGTCTGTGGTTCCTGTGCTGTGCATCAGAGTCGTCTTTTTGAAGAGAGCAATATCAAATACAGTTTTGTTAAGTGGGCCTTGGAGTTATTTTAGTTTCTGTAGTTGAAGAGCCTGGTACATCGAATCTAGAAGAGTCGGGATTGCCTTCAGAAGTGTGAATTAAAAACACTTCTAGGAATGGCTTTAAGAAAAATATTTTCCTTTTACGTTCCGGATCACAGAATCGCTAAGGTTAGAAAAGATCTCTAAGATCATTGAGTTCATTAACCTAGGACTGCCAAGGCTATCACCAGCCCACATCCTCAAGTGCCACGTTTATACCTATTGAACTTTTGCAAAGACTGAACTCATGTTTCAATTACTGATGGAAAGGGTTTAATTTAAAACATCTTAGCATGTGGTGTCTTTCATTCTGAAACCCTGTTCTGTTCTGACTTCGTCTATTTCTGTTAACCTGAATAGGATCCGTATCTAACAAAGAGTTCAATCAGGGAATTTAACGGAACCCTCATGTTCTTAGGTTACTTTTCTCATATATCTTAATTCTAATAAATGTGACTTCATAGCTAGCTCTTCTACAAGAGCAAAATGTTTTCTGCAAATAATGTAATTATTCTTCTCTGTGCAGTTGTAATTAAATTATCTTGGGACACTATGTATACAATATTTGTTTAAATGACTATTAATGGTTAAGTCCTTCATGCTGAATGAGTTAATATTTCAAACATATAAATGTATCCCTTATCAAATGTTTTCCCAGTCATTCTCATGTGTAGAGTTATGCTTTGGATGACACCTTCTTCCCATTGTTGCTTTATTTTTTTGGATTGCCTGTGGTGTGCTATGTGTCTTGTTTGTGGCATATCTCTGCCTTTGCAATTCTTTGTGTAAGAAATTTTCTTTTTAGCAAGTCCTTCAGTAGTTTGAGTTTTCTCCTACTTAGGATTAAAAAAAAAAATCTAAACTGAAACCCTTTTAAACTTGGCTGTGGTTGTCTCATGTGCTAGGCCTGCTGTACAGATTGCTTTCTCAAGGCTTCTTTTGAAGCACAGTGACTGCTTCCTATAAACAGACTTTAATTTATGTGGCTTTCACTATCTGCTTTAGCCGTATTACCAGTATCCCACTGCTAGAAGAGTGGTTAGTGCTGCCCTGCACACAGATTACAACTGTGATAAGTCATTTGCGTGCTCTTAGCTGGATCAGCAAACTGTAAATTCCTTATATTGTCTCTCGTTTCTGTTTGTGCTATTGACCTACTCAGGCAGTCACCTGACAGCGATGACATAAGTTGACTGTGCAGTGTTTGGAGTGCTCATTAGCACAGTGCCTACATAGCCTGGGAACTGCTGGCCTCTGACAGACCAGGAGATGTTATCAGTGTTCAGCATCTGTTTTGTTTTCAGGCAAACTAAAAAGGTTTGCTTTGCAGCACAGCAGGAGACTGGCGTGCTCTGACATGTAATGTCTCTGAAATGCACTCTGAGGATTAAGGATGCAGTTGGGTGTTCTCTGTGCAGAATTTAGCTTCAGTATCAGATTGTGGGTTTGGTAGTTTCCATTGAGGCTATTCTGGTACAGTGAGGAAGTACCTAATTAGCTTTGATCAGGACACCAGTCAAGAAGGTCTTTGCCTAAAGGCATAATTCTGCAGAGCTTGAAAGAGTCGACAGGGGTCCCTGAATAGGGTGGCAGCATTTTACTTGGTATTTGACTTAAAGCCAGATGTCATCCTGCAAGATTTTTGCTGAAAACTGAACTGCAAATTTATTATATCTATTTACTGTTGGACAGAACAAGTGTTTTCCAAGACTGCTTGCTTTGTTGCTTGCTGTATTGGACTGACCACTAGACCTTCCAAGACCATTAACTTACTCTCATTCCCTACCTTTTGAGTGTGATTTTCTGCATGGATGTCATAAAGAGTACACCTGGTATAATGTAGAAAGTGCTTGTGTTTTGTGGAGAACTGTTTGAATGTCGTCCCTCATTAGAAGTGTGATGGAGTAGAAGCCATTAGTGGAACAGAACTGCTTTTTGCTGTGTTGAATGGAACTTGAACTGCGCAGCTCCTTAGAAAAAGGGGCCTGTAGTGCAGCCAGGCATTTGCTCCAAATAACACTTTGCTTTATGGCTGGACTTGTTGAATAATAAATTAACTCTGATCCTGTTGTAAGCTGCTAATTGTTCTGCTCTTTTCACCTGCAGGCTGTGACTGTTTCTCTTCTGTCATTTGTGTGGAAAGTGCCACACACACTCCAGAACAACAACGGCTTTTGCTTGCATATTCCAGTGTTTCTTTTGTCAGCGAGTTCAGCAAAGTTGTAATTCTTCAAGTGCCAGCCCTGAGCTGAGTGAGGAGCCACCAGCAGAGATGGTAAAAATGACAAAATCAAAAACGTTCCAGGCTTACCTGCCAAACTGTCATCGAACCTACAGCTGTATCCACTGCAGAGCCCATCTCGCCAATCACGATGAATTGATCTCCAAGGCAAGTGGTTTCTTTAGAGACCTCATGAATTATTTCTTAACCAAAATAGTTGTCACTGTGACACCACTGCCAAGTAGATAAGGGATGCAAGCTGATGCATACTTCAGAGTATCTTCCCTGGGTTCACTCTTGGGTCATACATGTTGTGTACTAAGAACTGGATGTATTCTGGAAACTTCTGAATGTGACATAAAGGTTGGCCTAATATATTTCCCATGTTAACAACCCGTGTCTGCTGTCAGGTGGGTATTATTTGTGAGCTGTTGTGTCTGAAAAGTCTGCTAAGGAGAGCTGTCAGAAGAAAGCATGGATCTCTGGGTAGGGAAATGATTCTGGTTATGGTTAGTCCAGATAGAGATTTCTTTTGACTCTTTTGGACTGAAGGTCACAAAACTGTCTGTTTCTAGAATGTCCCACTTGTGTTATGGAACCTGTTATCACACTTTTGCTGTCTACCAGCTCCTAGGAAAATGATGAGCCAAAGATGTTCAAAATAGTTGGACTGTCTGAGCTTAGAGGATAGGTGGAACCTTGAAACAGGCTAGGCCTGCCCTTCTTCCCTGTTGCTAGAAGAAAACAAGACTTGTGATATATGAAATATGTAGGAGAGCTTGAAGTTTGGGATAAATATTTGACAGACTGGTTTATTCTTTGCTTCAAACTCCTGATTAAATTACTCTTTATGCTGCCATGGAGAAAACACTTGAGATGGTTTTCAAACTTTTTTATACAAAATGTTCTCTATATAACTGTTAAATAAAGTTAGTTATAAAGGGATTGACCCAGAAGTTTTCTCTGTTGCTCCTGCCTGTTTGTGTGTTCAGCAGCACTCAGGTGATGCTGCTCTTCAGTGCTGAAGAGATGGAAGGGCTTGAAAATGCTGCTCCTTCTGAATTTAGGTTTTCTGTGGGTGAGGAGAAAACCTGCTTGTTTATCCCAGGACTGTCAAGCGATAATGGGCTTTCCCCATAACATTTTTTCCTTTTACTTGAATTTAATTTTTTTTCATTTTGAGTTAAGAATTTTAGGCCTTTTTGACACCACTGGATTCTGAATTACAAGCACTCAGGAGTTTCACTATTCACTTTGTGTTCTGGGCCAGAAAGTACTGGGAGGGGTTAATCTTTCCTGAACTTCAGGTTGTAGATACCTGCAAAAATAAACTTTTTTGCTGTGCCCCCTTAGGATGTATTAATTCATTGAGAAAATGCAATCCAAGCACATACTTAATAGGAAGCTCTTCTTTTTGTGGACTTAGATTTTTGCATGCTGACTAAGCTGCCACAGTTGCTACATGAACCAGTTTTCTCCAAGGGTGAGAGTTTTGGTCAACAGAATACTTCAGATGTTAAGCAAATCATGTGTTCATTTTACAGCTTCATAAATAATTTCGAACATTAAGAATCAAATTTTCAATCCAAAGAAAACGTAGAGGATGAAGACACTTTACAAAAGAGTTTGTATTTGCAGGTTGACCCTATGCTTATTTGACAGCTGATTCATATTTTGTCAATTTAAGATTTTTTTAACCATATTTTATTGTCTGAATCTGTATGGTAAAAGATAAGTTATTTAAATGTGAGCAATATTTTTTGTATTCTTTTAAAATAAAAACATTTGTCATTTATTGTACTTGTATTTGGGACACAGCTTTGGAAAACCCATCTTCCTTAGACTGAAGCTTTACATATTCCAACACTGGACAAGTTATTCTGATGGAAACAACTGCAAAGCAATAGATAGACTTGGATCATTAAAAATAAGTACAGCTGGCCCTGGGGAGGGTGGGAGGTGCAAATAAAATTTGATTTTTTTTTTCTGAACTTCTCTTAAAGTGACTTCATTGAGGCACATTATATGCAATCAACTTAGGTTAGTGAGAGAGATGGGGTTTTTTTTGACATATCTAGAATCCTAGTTACTGCAACTACTCAGATGGAGGAAAAAAGCCCCAAACAAACACAAACCAACCTAAAGTGTAGCAATTTGATTCTAGACCATCCACAGTTAACAAAGAACAGTGTGGTTTCTGAGCTGGTTTGGATTTACTGGAGTGGAGACTTAGACTGTTCAACCTGACTTCCCCCCAGTGCCTTACCTTGAAGGCCTAGTTCAAAGTTAAATCTCTGTGTTATAATCACTAATTACAATTTTTGGTTGCAGATTCTCACTTTCTTCCAAATGCTTCCTGTACCATCTCACACCAGAACCCAGTGCCACGGGTCCTCTGCAGCAGATAAAGGCAAAGGGTATTTCCTTAATGCCTGGCTGTAGCTGCTTCCTTTGGGGATTGTCCCTCATCCCATCTTTTCTGGGTACATGGTGGTTGTTTCTTCCTCATGTGTGGTCAGGGAGAATGAACCAAAATGCACGGTGCACTTCTAATTTAAAGCAGCTCCAACTGGCTTTCTAATGTACTTTGAGGTATAAGAATTTAATATACCTGACACTGTAGTGGTTTTTGACTTGAATATGAAAAGATAAGCTATGCTGTGAACTGAGTGGTGTTTCTCTTAAATGTTGGTCTGTCATGGAAAAGCAAAAAATGCTGCATATTTCTGTCAATCATCCCTTTGATTCTGAGCCTTAGAATACCCGACTTCAATACAGATTTGCAATTCTTCTGCTTTTGAGGACTGTCAATTGTCTGACAAGGATGGCAGCATACACGAATCACCTTTTCATTTTATTTCTGTTCTGTTTAAGCAGCAGGATCTCTTTCTTGCCCTGGAATGAATCACAAAGCTCTTTTTCTAGTGCCCTTGCTGGTGATAAAATGGCAACCAAGAGTCTTGGCAATGGCTTAGAAATAAGAACACAGATTAATGAGACAGGACAAAAATGTGTTACCTGCTCAAGTGAATTCAGTTGTGGTTTTAGTTTTCTCTGCAGCTGTGAAAGCTGTTGCCTGGTGTTAAAATGAACATTTTAGTGGTTAGAACATGTATTTCTAGAGGTTTTCACTCAGTAATAACCTTGTGTTTTCTGCAGCTGGGGAGGAGCTTGGGGAAGAGGACTGGTTGAGATGAGGAGCCCCAAACTGGGAGGTCATTGGCAGCAGAGATAGTGACAAATGTTAGTCTGTACAGCTGGGCATGTGCACACACGTGTCAGCAGTTGCCATAATAATTTATAACTCCCAGGCTATCTTGGGGTAAGGATTGATTTGAAGCATAGTAAGAGAACTAAATAATGAAGCAGGTGACTTAATTGAAGTAAGTGCAAGTTTGAGATGGTGTCAGGTACATTTTAGACGTGACTGATTAGCATTGCTAACAGGTCTGCGGGTGCTGGATTTTTCTCTTTCTTTGATGAAGACTTCAGAGTCTGTCAGGATGTTAAAGTGTTTTTTAAAATGCTATGAGAAGGAGTAAACCAATCATCACTAAACTGGAGTATGCTCACAGAGGGGAGGAACCTATGGCTCTTTAAAATTTTTTTTAAATGGGCAAATATTTATATATATTTTTTATTTTTATATATATTTTTATTTTTAAATATATTACCATGACAGTAGGGACAGAAGAGAAGTAAACTATGAGCAAACAACCACAGGCCTTAATGAAGGCAAGGAGCTGATGCCATAGGAAGCACTGAGTGGATTTAAAATTGATATTATAGGAGGCACTTTATGGATTTAAGATGTTCAAACAGCACATAAAAAAGTGACCAAACAGTGTATGTTAATAATTACAATTTTAAAAATCCAAACATAATTAAATTTTGAGAGAGCTCCTTGAAGTACAGGGAGGTTGCCACTTGTGTGGCCTAAACAAAATGTTGTATATTTGCTGCTCTTGGAGCAATTCTGGAGTAAGTTTTGTGGAAGGCCTGACTGAAAGAACTTTCTTTTGATTTATTATGTAGTAGTTGGAAATGTGCAGTGATTATTAAGAGCAGTTTATTTTATAGGAGACAAATCTTACATGAAGAGCATAAGTTCCAAAGCACTTGAGAATGGCTTGTACCTACTAAGTTCCAGTAATTGTTTAGAAATTCAGGTATGATCCAACAAATTCCAAAAAAATACAAATACTTCATAGAATCTTGGAACTTATTGGATATACTGCAGAGGATGTTTTGTTACTCAAGGTTGAAAAGACTGCTTGGAAGACTATTGAAGCATCTTAGTGTGCCTTAATTCTAGGAATGGAGAGAATTTGGTTTACTTTGTATAGATGTCTCTATAAATACTGTCACTTTCTTCTGTCTCATTCATTTCCAAGCATATCTGACCAGAGGGGAAAAAAAGTCATGTGAAGTCACAGACAAGAGTAGATCTGTCAATATTTTCAAGAATTAGTTCTGCATAAAGGTATATATATGCATATATCTATATATATGTAACAGTCATTGACTGCACTGGGAAATCCTTGCACCTTGTGGGTGAAAGAATGATTTTGGTGGTTAAATTTAGTTCTCCAAGGAATTCAGTATGATTACTCTTCTATTATTGATGAGAAGAGTGTTAAGCCTAAATAGATGCTGAAACATTTTTAGCCTTGCTTAGCAATCTGTGGTTTTGCCCTCCACTGTTTAACTGATGAGATCAAGAGGAATTTTTAAAAAGGGTTTATTGTCTTTAAGTAAATATGCTGTGCTTAGCTTGGTTCAATTTGTAATCCTCCTTTGCTTATGATATAATGAGTATTTAGAAAGATAGATGGGACTGTTTTATGTATGCTTGAAGGCCATTTTTACTCCCTCACTAATTTCATAAATATTCCGGTGATAATTTTTTTCTGCAAGAGGCTTCTAGTTTTTTGGGTTCATTTTTTTCTCCTGGGGCAAGAATCTGGTTTTTGAAAGAGAAGCAATCTTTGGAAAACATCCAAGAATAGATTTGAAGGCTTAAAGGAGTTGGAAAGTGCAAGGGAAGTGTTCTACTCTGTGTATTTTGACATAATTATTTCTGAAATCCATTCAGGAAGCTGCATAGGTCAAGATAACTTGTCCTGCCTGACAAAGTCTTCACTTCGGGGAAATATCATTTGCCAGGT